GTCTGCGAAAGACACAACATGAGTGTATTCTGTCTTAGGTTTTTTTGTCTTTTGTTTTCCAAGTCATGAAGGGTTTGAGAAATCAAGTAATTTGATAGAGAAGAACATGCTCTCTGGAGTAGCCACAGGGAGGGGGCTTGGGCTGGAGTCCCCCGTCCCCTCCGCCCCCCCACCTCCACTGACCATGGGCCTGGCCTCAGGTGGCCAGAGGAGTCATATAGCATTCTGCTGCCTGTTTTTTGTAAGATGGTGATAAAAAGGTAACGCCCTGAGGCCAGAAATGAAGGGCAGAGCTTATAAATGAAAGTATGATAATTAAGAGTCTTCTGGACCCATGTCTTTATGAAGTCAGAGATTACTCTGAAACATGATCGATCCCCCCATACGGACGCCCCATATCCATCCTGTTAACTGTGGTTTCAATTTCTATTTTCACTTCTTGGCCTTGCAGATGTAGTGTGGTGCACTGAAGGGCATTAAGAAGTGTGTTTGGGAATAGGGGACAGGCTAAAATCTGAGGTGCTCTCTGTTCCTGGATCTTGTGAAATGTTTTTTTTTTTTTTCTGTGCCCCTTCTGACCTTTGTTCTTGCTTGTATATGAACCCAAAAAGTCTGGCCAAGAATCACAGCTCCTGTCTTTTAAAAATTTAAATGAGGGGCGCCTGGCTGCCTCAGTCTGTAGAGAATGTGACTCTTGATCTCAGGGTCAGGAGTTCAAGCCCTGAATTGCACACAGAGATTATTTAAAATTAGAAAATAAATGAGCTGAGTAACTGAAAGCAAGTTTTCTAGGCCCACCCAGCATCCTATTTACATTTGTGTCATCGTTATTGTGTATTGAGCACAGACAAGTAATGTGAACAGGAAAAAAGTCAAGACAAGACTTAAGTCTGCCTGTGGACAGCACAGCGGTGGTGTTTGGAAGGCATTCGGTGGACAGTGGTGAAGTGAGGTCAAAGCAGTGCACCACGTGGCCCGTCCAGAGCAGGTCCCGGGCAGCTCCCGACCACTGACAAATGCCCTAAGGCCACTGCTCAGAGGAACTACATGACCTCGGTCCATTCCACAAGCCCAAATCCAGATAGGTTTGGGAGCGAACAGTAAATCCATGGTCCGTGTGAGGTGCTGGGGTAAGAGTCACATGACACGACCCTAGCCTTTGAGGAGCTTCTAGCACAGTCCAAACACGTTAGGAAAAGAAAGTATCCTGTGGGTGAGTGAGTGTTATCCCGACTGCACAAAAATCTTTCCAAATGTTTTGGCCACCTTCAAATCTCCTGGCCGGTTGCAGGAACAGCCACTTTGGGGGGTGGGTTACAGGATGGGGTTTGAGTGTAGACTACCTGGGTTTACACTGAGGTCGGCTACTGACTATCCGTGCAGCTTTGGAAAGATACCTAACATCACTTGTACTTAGTTTCCTCATCTAAAAAGTGTGACGAAGCGTAGCCACAAAGGGTCGTTAACTAGATTCATGTCAGTTAACTAGATTCATGTCTATGAAGCCCTTAGAACAGTGATTGGCACAGAATAGTATTCGGTACTTATTTCTGAAGTGAAATGAGGAAAGAGACCTGGTCAGTGGATGAAAAGTCCCCACCCTCAAAACTCTGTGTAATTCTTACCAAAGCAACTCAAGAATGAGTGTGCATAAACTGGTGCAGCCCCTCTGGAAAAGAGTATGAAGGTTCCCCAAACGATTAAAAATACAACCACCATGTGACTCAGCAATTGTACTACTAGGTATTTATCCAAGGGATGCAGGTGTGCTGTTTCAAAGGGCACATGCACCCTAATGTTTATAGCAGCGCTATCAACAATAGCCAAAGTATGGAAAGAGCCCACATCTCCATCGATGGATGAATGGATAAAGAAAATGTGGTGTGTATGTATTAGTCATCAAATAGAATGAAATCCCGCCATTTGCAACAACGTGGATCGAACCAGAGGGTGTTATGCTAAGTGAAGTTAGTCAGAGAAAGACAAATATATGACTTCACTCATATGAGGACTTTAAGATACAAAACAGATGAACATAAGGGAAGAGAAGCAAAAATAATATAAAAAACAGGGAAGGGGACGAAACATAAAAGACTCTTAAATACGGAGAACACACTGAGAGTTGTTGGAGGGGTTGTGGGTGGGGAGATGGGCTAAATGGGCAAAGGGCATTGAGGAGGACACGTGTTGGGATGAGCCCTGGGTGTTCTATAGGGAATGAACACCTGGACTCTACTTCTGAAATCATCACTGCACTGTATGCTAGCTAACTTGGATGTAAATTAAAAATGAAAGTAAATAGGGGCACCTGGGTGACTCAGTCGGTTAAGCGTCCGACTTCGGCTCAGGTCATGATCTCATGGTTCGTGGGTTCAAGCCCCACGTCGGGCTCTGTGCTGACAGCTAGCTCAGAGCCTGGAGCCTGTTTCAGATTCTGTATCTCCCCCTCTCTCTCTCTGAACCCCCCCGTTCGTGCTGTCTCTCTCCCTCTCAGAAATAAATAAAACATAAAAAAAATTTAAAAAACTAAGGTAAATAAATAAAAAAATTAAAATTAAAAAAGAATTGCATGCATAAAAATGAACCAAGAGGTTACAAAAACTGAGTCATTTCTTAAAGTGAGAATGCAATATGATTCATCTTTACTACTAAAATGAAATTTTTGCACGCGAAAAGGGCTAGATCAGCTTCACTAAACATTCAGTATACAAATACATATATACTAAACATTCAGTATATGTTTGGAATGGGGTGATTTAAAATATAAGCTATTTTGCATGAATAAAGCTCATTCTGCAGGGGATTCGAAGATACAGATGCTCATCCCACAAAACTGTTACAGCTGTCTTCAACAAGAGGGCTCTCTGACTGCCAAACAGAAAGAGAAACCACAAGTGTATGTATATACACCAGAAGTGAATTTCTTAAAAGGGCTCCAAACAGAAAGTCACCAGGGCACACATTTCAACTTGCAAAAATAGATTTGTAATTAATCTGTTTCTCCCCTGGGCAACTCCATGTCCACGAGCACAGGGATGAAAGCTGGGATGATCTTCAGAAAAAGTACCGTGAGTGATTTCCTACCAAGCACTGACCTGCACTATTTCATCGGCTACGCAGGAGAGACCAAACCTCCCACCAGAAACAAAACTGGCAACGGACCCACAGGTGATGCTGGTTGGAATGCTGGGACCCATCTGACATCTGGAGATTTGATACCAGACTGATCTTGGAAATGAAAATCTGCCATCCCTACCTCTTCAAATAGCTTGAGTTCTAACAATTCCTATTTTCCACCATTATGAAAAACAAAATCCATAGGAACTATTGGCTTTCCATTCAATGTAAAGTTTTTAGAAGCACAAAATTTGCCAGTGAAAAGCTTTCAATGTCATTTTAGAAACCATTATAATTTAACTGATAGATGATGAGAATTGCAAGCAATTGGGCGACACCACAGAGGACAGAACAGAGTGAGCTTTATTGTGTTGGTGTTCAGTTCGAATCAGCAAACACGTGTTCGCCAACCTAAATAACAGGTGGTGTTAGGTGCTACAGATAAAAGGGAAGAAGGTAATAGCAATTCAGTGGAAATCTAAATCAGACTATTTATATTCATAAAACGCCTGTAAAAAATGACAAGTTGATCTGTTCTAAGGTTGTCAAGGAAGAGCAGGTGTTGAAGAACAAGACCATGTCACAAGGACAGGACAGGAGGAAGACATGTGCAAAGGCAAAAATGGGGAGTAAAAACAGCACAACACAGTCCCCGCTGATATAAAACGTAGGTTAGAACACGTCCGCTGGATTACTTTTATGTTAACTAAACTGCATTCACAGGAGAGACAGCACAAATGATTTTCTTCTTTCCCTTTGATTAAACAACAAGCAACGAAATAGAAATATTTTAAGTACTATATTCTCATTCTCAGACCTTTAATAAGCTGTGGCCAAGCACAGCCTACAATACTCTTGTCTAATAGAAATATAAACGCATGGGGCACCTGGGTGGCTCAGCCAGTTAAGTATCGGACTTTGGCTCAGGTCATGATCTCGCGGCTTGTGGGTTCGAGCCCCACATCGGGTGCTGTGCTGGCAGCTCAGAGCCTGGAGTCTGTTTCAGATTCTGTCTCTCTCTCTCTCTCTCTCTCTTTCTGCCCGTCCCCTGCTCATGTTCTGTCTCTGTCTGTCTCAAAAATAAATAAAAACTATAAAAAGTTTTTCTAAAAAGAAATAATGCAAACACATATAGAAGATTAAATTTTCTATTAACCTCATTCTAAAAAGAAAGAAAGAAATCAATTATTAAAATTAATTTTAATAATATAGTTTCCTTAACCCAATTATGAAAACTGTTATAATTTAACTTATAATCAATATGACAATTGTTGATTAGACACGGTACATTTTTGTACTAAATCTTTGAAATCCTGTATATATTTTAGTGTTACAGTACATCTCAATTCAGATGCTATTTTTTTTATTGGAAATACTCCATCTGCATAGAGATTTCAAAAAATTTATAATTGAAAAAGGAAATTCACATAACTCAAGTTTTCCAAACGAACTTAGAAGTTATCCAGTCACTGGATTGACTAAATTCCATTTTTAAAGGAAAGTTATTTAAGTAAGAACTAATTCAGGTATTCAGTTGCCCTAGCCACATTTCAGGTGCTGATCTGGCTAGTGGCTACTACAGTTGGACAGCTCAGTTCTAGAAGAAGTGTGTAAGAACCTGGTGTCAAATCTCTAGCCTGAAGTTAATATTAGCTAAAATCAAATCAGTAAACAGACTATCAGGTCCAGAATGGGGCATTGGTATTAGGAGTCTGGGATTACCCCCGCATCTCTCCCTTGTTGGCCCACATGTACTCACGCAAGTGACAGCTGAGAAAAAACAGTGAGTGCCTAGAAAAGGCCTTTCAATCAGCATGAGACTGAGGTTTAATTGCAGGAACGTGAAAGAGTTCCTATGAAAGCAGAAGGTTCTTGGTACTTACGGACACATTCTAGGTGTATCTCTGCTACTGAAGGAAACATAATGGACTCAACAGGTGGACATACTCTGAAAGGGAGCACAGAGAAAGCATCTGGTTATAATTGGAATGGAGTGTTCGCTTACTTTCCCACTGCACTCACCTGAGAAACATCCACCACGAACAAAACCCAAAATCATAAAATCTAAGTTCTCCTATTTAAAAAACAAAACAAAACCCAAAAGAAAACAAAACAACAAAAGAACTCACACTTGCCTGTTCTCATTAGACAAAAGTACAGGCAGGCTTCTTATGCAAACTCTTAAGTGCAATCTGGAAGACTAAACCCATCACGACATTTCAAAAAACCTATTTCATAAGCATTTCCTATATTGTGAACTGGAGCTCCTCCAGGAACATCCAGGAAGCATCACCATTCATCCAGAATGTTCCATTACTTATTCACCAAATCTCTTGTGAGTGCCTCTTAGATTCTAGGGCCACTGTGCTGGGCAGAGAAAGTACACGAGCGAACAAGAAAGATCACCCACACACAACAGGTGAGAAGAGCGGACAGACATAAGGTGCCCCCTCCCGAGGTGAAGGGTCGGAGTAGAACAGGACACCAGGTGGGGCCTTGGACCACACTTAGGCTGACACTGGTTATTCATCTGAACCTCAGACGTGAGCGCCCGTTTAACGGGAGACACCTACGTCAGACAGGCGGCCTGGAAGGAGAGGGAGGCAGGTGCGGGGAAAGGAGGCTTCCCTCAGAAAGAACTCGTGAACCGAGCCCCGAGGCTGGCAGGGAGGTCAGGGGACAGAAATTACAGGTGGGTGCCAGGCGACACAGAGACCCCAAGCCACGGTGGCGGCGGGAACATACCACCGGCAGGCGGGGAGGGGTGGCGATGTTGCTGGAAGACCAAGCAACCCTTGGAAAAGCGCTGCACTACTCGTCAGAGCCGTGGCCGCACAGCTGCACACCCCCAGCCCTGGCCACATGGGAAGCACAGGTCACACGGCCACAACCACCAGTGACATCAGGACTGGGGGCGGCGGCGCACCAGGCGACTGCCAAGGGCCACTGAGGTGTGGACAGCGAGTGAAGACAGCACGCGTTGCGGAAAACTGGGAAGAAGCGGTCAACAGGTCAACGTTTCTGGAGGCGTCAAGTGACACCAGGACACTACGCGACACGCGGGCGGAGCTGCACGGAGACCCCCGGCTGTGGCACCGGCGGTCTCGGAGGCCCGGCCGAGGCCACGCGGACCACACTCCGCACAGCGGAGGGGAGGGGGGCCAGGACGCCGGGGGGCCACGCCGAGGCCGCACTTCCTCTCTGCCCTTTCAGCAGCTGCGGGTCAAGGACAGGGCAAGCGTTTGGAGGCGGGGCGGCCAGGGCTCCAATCAGAAGGAAAAGCGCTACAGGCTGATCGCTAGCGACCAATCCGCTTCTAGAGCCCACTTGACTGACAGAGCCGCGCGCCAACGCGCGCGCGCAGAGCGGGAGGCCGCGAATCACAGGGGGGCGGAACTCCAGGGCACTAACCCGGAACCGGTTGGGGACCCGCTTCCCATTGTGAGGCCAGACCTGGGGCGGGCCCTCAGCCAGAATGGCTCTACCCTCTGGACCAATGGAGGAGACGTCTCTCACGGGTGGCAGCCGTGTCACCCAACGGGTGGCGGCAGGAGGCGGGCGAAGCTGGTGGGCGGGGAGTCAGGGAGGCATCTTTTTTTCCTCCCCTCTAGTCCCGTGAGAGGAGACCGGGTGGAGGTGCCGCTGGGGTCGCAGGTGAGCGGTTCTGCCCCGGAGGCGGCGGCGGCGCCGCGCACGGTGGGTGCCCTGGTGACGGGGAGGAGCCCGGCGGCAGGTGGCCGTCCCTGCGCGGCTGGCTTCGCCCTGGGGTGCGCTGTAGCGGGGCGCGGGGAGCACCAGTGCGGGCGGAGCGTGGGGAGGGCCGTGTCCGCCGCGTCGGCGCGCTAGTCGGGGCTCCGACGTCCACACGCAGGTGGCAGGTGCGGCGGCGGGGCCCGGCCACCTCCCCCGGGTGGGCCTCCTCCCGCCCCGCGCCCGCCCCGAGTCCTGGCCCCCCCACCCGAGAGCGCGGCGGGGACACCGAGAAGCGCGTGTACCCGCTCGGAGAACAGGTGGCCCTCAAGACACCCGCAGGTGCCCACTGCCCAGCACGACTCTGAGACGGGAGCGTCAGCTCAGCCGGGAAGGGAATTTCCCAGAAGACTTTGTGGGCGCGGGGAGCCGGGGAACTTGGGGGAGTTGATGTAGTTTGTGATGTTTTCTTCTTTTCCCTTGAACCACCTAATGAATTTACCAAAAAAAAAAGTTTGTACCTAGAATTGACTGCCTGAATGTCCTCAGAGCTCTTAGTTTTGCCTTCTCGCGTAGTGTTAGTAACTTCTTTCTCGAGTGTCCTTGAAGAAAAAAAAACCCGTTTTAATATGCTTTTGGCGGTACGTCATCCCCCCAGGTATGAGGGAAGCGAACCGCTGTAGCTTTCCCGCCGGCCGGAGAGACGGTGAGCTGCCGCTTCAGGAAGACGGCTCTCCGCGCCAGGGCTTGGAAGAGCTGCCGCTTTTCCCTTCTGCAAAGACAGGGAACAGAACCAGTCTAACAGATGCCGGCCACCTGAAATGGCATCTCTGCACGTTTTAGGAAGTGGTTCTCTCTCCCCAGCACCAAGAGTTGGTGCCTGGCACATAGTGGGAACTCAGTAAATGTTTGAGTACATTATTAGGTAGCACATGATAGAAATCCAAGCTGTGAGAATCAAAATGCAAAGGAGAACAGAAAAAAAAATCCTGGAAACACAGCTTAGTTTTTATCCATGCAAAGGTACCTACCACATTTCAACTCAGGTGCAAATTTCAACTGATTTTGGTACTTTCTTACATTAATCAGAGGTGTCAGAGGTTTTCACACAATTAAGCTGTGTCTGGAGATCTAAGCTACACTTCCACAGGAATATTGTGCTAAGTCATATTCCTACTCTTATATAGCTTTTATTCTAAACACCCCATTATGCGGCTGTGATCCGGTTTATTCATCTAATCTATTGATGGATATTTGTGTTTTTACAATGCTTTACCCTTAAAAATGTGATAGCATTTTTAAAATGGTTGAAGAACGTATTTAAATGGTCTGAAACATTATCTTTTGAAACAAAAAGTCCTATCAATATATTGTATTTAACATGATAGGGAATTTGATATTATTTTAGCACTCTGTTGTGTTTTTAAGAATATCTAACTTCCTGATTCCATATCAAAAATGTGTCTTTGATAACCTACTCAGACTATAGTAGCAAAATAGCACTTTTACCTAAAATTTTCTTTTTTACCGTTTTGTAGACCTTGTTAGGTTTTTGTGTTTTCCGCATAGAGAGAGAATGAGTAGTTTATCGAAAGGCTTCACTTAATTTTACAAACTGCTGCTTGCCCATATTGACTAGGGCTGCCTTTTTCTTTTCAATATACTCTTTGCCCGTAGAAGTGTTTCAGCTTTGGCTGAAGGTAAGTTTTAGCTTACCTTCCTTGAGTTACTTTTTCTTTCCCTTTGTAACCTTTCCCATCCCCTAATCACCTTATTTTAAGTTGTGTTTGTGCCTTCTGTTTGTGAGCACAGTGTTAGGTGTTGAAGATAACGGCCTTTGGAGCCAACGGGCTCCAGACCCTTCTCCCAGATCCTCCTGGTGCTGGACCAATGGTACAGGAAGGCAAAAAGCCAAGTTTTCACTGGAGTAATTCTCTGAAGTGTGTGCTGCAACATAGGTACTAAGGAGAAGCATCTTTGGGCTGGCTTAATGTGTAAATCAGTTTGCTTCAGTTCTTTTTTATAAGCATATAAAAAATAAGGTGTATATGAAGGTAGGTTTTATATATATATAAGCAAAAATATTACATCACTTGTAAAAAGGCATATAAAAGTATTTTTAGAAATAAACCTAGTTTATAAATCTAGTACCTGGTAAGTCGCCTCTAGAGGAAAGCTGAGTACTGGGGCAGTGCATGTGATGGCTTTAATTACATAAGGAATGTTGGGCCTGAGTGCTAATTAAATGTGATCCATTATCATTACAAGTGTTCTAAAATGTTCACTAAACTGACCTGGGATCGAATGTGCAAACATGCGCGTAATTTTTGTCAGGTACCCATTTCCTAGGCCGCGGGGACCGCGTGTGCAGACGCTCCGAGTGGGGGGCGGGGTGACTGAAAGGCCATTGTGGTCGGAGAAAGAAGTAACCGGGGGTGGAGGAGAGCGAGTGAGCCAAGAGTGTGAGCCGGCAGTGAGGAGGCCAAGGAGTGGCCCGGGGGCGAGCGGCCAGGGACAGGGGGACACCCCCAGAGGCAGACGACTGGGCAGCTTTAAGCTGTGTTTCCAGGTGTGTGTCCAGCTTCCTGGGTCGAGGTACGTTGCACAGTTGGCAGTTGATTGTTTACTTTTTTCTCTTCAGTCATTGTCCAGCCTGCCTGTGCTAGCAGATGAGTGGGAGAACGCGGATTTAAACCAAGTGCCAAGAAGGGACTGCCCTTGAGTTTTGTACTTTGCAGCATTTCTCAGCCTTTCCCACCTTCTCTTCCTGTGAGAACGCCACGCTTAGGTTACGAAAATGAAGCAGCTGAAAAGGAAGCGAAAAAGCAATTTCAGTGTTCAAGAAACTCAGACCCTCTTGAAAGAAATTACAAAACGCAAAGAAGTCATTTTTTCCAAGCAGCTCAACACAACCATCAACGTGATGAAGCGGATGGCGTGGGAGGAGATTGCGCAGTGTGTGAACGCCGTGGGGGAAGGGGAGCAGAGGACAGGGACGGAGGTGAAGAGAAGGTACCTGGACTGGCGGGCGCTTATGAAGAGAAAGCGGATGAAGGCAAACCTTAAGCTGGTCGGCTCGGGGTTTCCCCTTCCCACCTCTGATTTAGACGACTCGCTCACCGAGGAGATGGATGACAAGATTGCATTCCGGAATGAGCCCAACTTTGACTGGCAGAATGTGGCAGATTTCAGGGATGCAGGCGGATCCTTAACTGAGGTCAAAGTGGAAGAGGAGGAAAGAGACCCCCAGAGCCCTGAAGTAAGTACTGGCCTCCTGTGAACCCTCTTTGTCCTTTTAGTCCCTCAGTTCTGATGTGGGAGGTTAGCACAGCCCAGGAACGGTAGAGATCCCGGCTTTCAAGCTAACTCACAAGTTTGACGTAACCAAGTCATTCCGGGTCTCCTTTGTTCAGGTCGTGAATCTCTCTTTTAACCCACATATCCTTCTCTTAATTACACACATGCCTGAAGAACGAGGGCGGGTAGGGGTGCTGGCTCTCCGCACAATCCACCATCCCTGCAGCAGCTGTGACTCCCCAGAATTAACTGCTGACAGCCTGCTGTTGATCGGGAGGCTTATCAGTAACCTAACAGTCGATTAACGTGTCATCTGTATGTTATATGTATTGTATGTGGTATTCTTAACACGAAGGAAGCTATAGAAAATAGTAAGAAAGTTGTGAGAGAAGATTCATTTCCAGCACACACCGTACTGAGCGAGGAAACATACGTGTGAGTGGACCCACACAGCTCAAGCCCACGTCGGTGAAGGGTCACCTGTATTAGTGACAACAGGCAGGTCTTTGTAAATATCTTTGAAAACCCCGGTGGTTGTCTGCGCTCACACGGTGCAGAAAGCTTTAAAGAAGCGTTTAGACGCATTGGGAGCGTGAAGCAGAAATGCATCCTGAAAAGTGCTCTGTCCTTCTAGTTCGAGATCGAGGAAGAGGAAGAGATGCTGTCCTCGGTCATCCCGGACTCCAGGAGGGAGAGCGACCTGCCCGACTTCCCCCACATCGAGGAGTTCTTCACCCTGAACTCCACGCCGGCGCGGCCTGCCTACGACGAGCCGCACGTGCTGGTCACCCTGGAGAAGCAGAAGCTGGAGCTGGAGCAGCGGCGCCTGGACTTGGAGGCTGAGAGGCTGCGGCTGGAGCGCGAGCGGCTGCAGCTGGAGCGCGAGCGGCTGCACGTCGACAGGGAGAGGCTGAGGCTGCAGATCGTGAGCTCTGAGAAGCCGCCCGCGGACGGCGAGCCAGGCCTGGGCGAGAAGCCCGGGCCGCAGCCACAGGACCTGGAGACGGAGAGGCTGAAGCTCGAGAGGGAGCGGCTGCAGCTCGAGAAGGAGCGGCTGCAGTTCTTGAAATTTGAGTCGGAGAAGCTGCAGATCGAGAAGGAGCGCTTACAGGTGGAGAAGGAGAGACTGCGGATCCAGAAGGAGGGACACTTGCAGTGACTGAGCACGGTCCCCGCTCAGCAGAGGCCTGTGAACCGTAGGTTTCCTTCTAACTTGGATGAACTGTTTTTCCCTCTTGAACGTCCGTGTTTCCAAGAGGCCAGAGGTGGGTCCGTGCGGGTGACTGTAGGCGCCAGCTGTCCATCATCTGTGCTGTGAGCCGCGTGCCCGGCACACACAGCAGGGCAGGGGCCGTCATCTGCCGTATCTGCTGAGGAAAATTCCATGGCGTCCTGTGTGATCTGTGCACGCGGGTTTAGTTATGTCTGTGAGGTTCTAGGTCCGTGCTTCTCCACATCGGGGTGGGGGTGGATCCAGACCTTGACCCCCCGGAGACGTTTGGTTGGTGGGTTGGGGGCCAGGGTGCCCTCCTCCTCCTGCCGTGCATAGGACGGGCGCCCAGAAACCCAGAAAAGACTTCTCCAACACGAAATGTCAGTGTTGCTGAGGCTGACGAGCACCTCTCTAGCTTTGGTTACAGTTCCAGAATATTAGGACCTCACATATTTAAGTGGGTAGTTACTTAAATGGCCACAGACTTTAACTATGTGACATAACTGTGTGGTGTATGGAACACGGGAAGTGACGACAATTATTAGTGTTTCTTCCCGGGTTTCCGTCTATCACCTGAGACTCCCAACATGCTACAGGGAGCCTCAGTTCATTCATCTGGCTGTTGACGCTTTAGAAGCAGCACACACTGTTTAAGGCTTAGTTCCCTTTTTTCTTTGAATTCGTGATTTTAGTTTAGATAGAAAAATTGTGATTTCAACCATGTACTGAAATTTTAATATAAGTGAATGGTTGAAGCTAGTAAAAACGGTACCGATACATAAAAATGGTACTAGTAGTCCACGAGCTTGAAATCAATAAGGGTTATTTTTTAAATAAGTACTCGCAGCTGTGGGGGAGTGGGGGTGGGGAGAGAGAGTCGTCTGTCTCCGATGGGGTGCTGGTGACGGTCGTAGCTGTGTGTGAACGAACCAGGGAAGCCCTTGCACCCACTGTCTGACCTGGTCTCTACAGGTCGTGAGAGCATCCATGGCTCTTCCTGAATCGGGGGCTCCGAGAAGGAGCAGGGCGTGAGAGTCTGGTCTCGTCCTGTGGTGAGCCTGGTCTGCGCCCCTCCCGCGGGAGCAGATTGCATCTCTTCTGAGACCAAGGGCCGGCGTAGCCTGGTGACTTGCCTTCAGTCTCCTGAAGGTTCTTTTCCCACCATGCGGGTGATTCTAACGCACACCAACGCTGAGAATCACTGCACGAGATCACTTTGTATTTTCTGGTTTCCAGGGCTGATAATGTAGCTTTAACACATGTCTTCTGTTGACAGGTACTATCTTGATTCTGCCTTTGTTCCCTGTTAATTTCAGAATGTCTTGAAACGCTATGTGATGTTACAGTAAGGACACAGAAGGAAAAAATACACTTCTGCTTCGTTACCTTGACTTCGAAATACTGTTATTTTTCTATAGCCAGAATAAACGCTTCTACCGTAGAAATAAAATTTGCCTGTGCCCACTCTCTGAAAGTTTATCATTTCCTGTGGCCATTGGTACTGGGAGGATTGAGGTTCTTACGCATGGAACAGCATGGGCCCGGGGCCTCACATCTGTTAGGCATCGAGCTGGCTGCTTTTCGTGCATTATTTTGTTTGCTCTCCAAAACAACCCTTGAGCTAAGTCACGCTGTCCCTACTTTTACGAGAAAGGAAATAGTGCCTCATTGATTCATTTAAATACCTGACAAATGATACAGCAGTAATGACCCAAGATTTCACACCGTGAACCGGGGGGGGAAAGCGTGGAAATATGCAGGTGTGGCTGTAAGCAGAGCGTGTGCGGGAGCTGTGCCACACAGCACCGTGACAAGCCTGAGACATGCCCTGTGATTTGATCTCATTTGTCTAAGGCCCACAAGGCCTGCCTGAGCTTCATGTTGATATATATTTTTTTTAATAAAATGGTATGTAAACCATAAAATGGTGTTTAGGTTTAAGATCAGAAGATTTTAATTTCCTAGAAGCATGAAGATAGCCAATATTATTTTGGGGTGAGCCCTCCTAAGTTCCTGGAAGGAAGAAACTTAAAAACAACAGACAAAAGCAGCAGCTTTTTATCTCACAGGGCTTTGGTTGAAGACCTTTGGGTATCTTCTTTTTTCTTTTTTTTTTTTTTTTTTTTAATGTTTTATTTATTTCTAGGAGAGAGAGAGAGAGAGACAGCGTGAGCAGGGGAGGGTCAGAGAGAGAGGGAGACACAGACNCAGGCTCCAGGCTCTGAGCTGACAGTCAGCACAGAGCCCGACGCGGGGCTCGAACCCACGAACCGTGAGATCATGACCTAAGCGAAAGTCGGACGCTTAACCGACTAAGCCACCCAGGCGCCCCTCTTTTTTTTCTTTAGAGAGCAGGAGCATGAGCAGGGGAGGGGCAGAGGGAGACGGGTACAGGCAGTGCAAAGCAGGATCTGAGCTGTCCGCACAGAGCCCGATGCGGGGCTCAAACCCACAACCCGTGAGATCATGACCTGAGCTGAAGTCAGACGTTCAACCGGCCGAGCCGCCCAGGCGCCCCAAGACCTTTGGGTGTGTTATCCCTCCCCCAGCTGTGGACGGACCGGGTGGGTTCTCGCCAGTGGGAAACGTGATGTGTGGGCACCACATAGGAGTCCTGTCAGTCATGAACACACCGATACTCGATACTCGGCGTGTTGCTCGTGGTTTTACAGGAAATTAGACCGAGCTCATGTGGGTGGTTGGGATCCTGGCTGGGTACGCGCGGTCTGCAGGCCGACTAGGCGCTCGGCTTCTGCAGGGCGGGGGTAATGAGACTGGGGGGAGGCAAGTCCGCTCTCTTCCTGGTATTGGATCCTCTAGCAAAATAGCGCAGGCTTGTTTCGGGGGGGGGGGGGGGGGGGGGGGGGGGGGGTGGCCGGAAGCTCAAACAGGAAAGCAAAGATGCCCATGGTGTCTTGAGACCAAGGATCAGAGCTGGCACTTCATGCCTGCTGCACCCTATTTGCCAAAGCAACACACAGGGCCAGACCGGAGGCAGGAGGAGAGGACAGAGCCCACCTCTTGACAGGAGGTGACGGGATGTTCACAGGGAGGGCCGAGGAACGGTGGCCATTGTTACCAGTCACGTACACAACATCCTGGTTTGCTGGGGAGGCTCCTGGGAGCCTCTGTGGTTTAGCAGGTACCTAAAGTACCTTTATATGGATATTAAATTACATGGTCATCCCGCTCATAAGGACGCCCTGTTGTAAAGATGCTGAGTTAAAGGGGTGCCTGGGTGGCTCAGTACGGTAAGCGTCTGACTTCAGCTCAGGTGATCTCACAGCTCGTGGGTTCGAGCCCTGCATCAGGCTCTGTGCTGACAGCTCAGAGCCAGAGGCCTGCTTCACATTCTGTCTCCCTCTCTCTCTGACCCTCCCCTGGTCACACATACACACTCTCTTAAAAACATTTAAAAAAAAAAAAGAGGGGGGGGAGCTTACAATATATGGCTTACGAGCCAAAGACCTATATTCTTGGGGAAAAAATGCTCAATTGTTTGATTCACACTGTATACAGAGGCATCACAACCATGCTGTCTGAACGGAGGTCAGAAAGAAATGACCAGGATTATAAAATTTGAGTTGTGATCAGTAAGTTCTGAGAGCTTTCTCAAGGAATTTTGTCAAGAAATACCCTTTATTTTTTACCATTTTTTCCCTCAAGGTGACCCACTCATCTTTAAAAAGAATTTAGGGGCACCTGGGTGGCTCAGTTGGTTAGGTGTCCGACTTTGGCTCAGGTCCTGATGTCATGGCTCGTGGGTTTGAGCCCCTTGTCAGGTTCTGTGCTGACAGCTCAGAGCCTAAAACCTGCTTCGGATTCTCTGTCTCCCTCTCTCTCTGCCCCTCCCCTGCTCGTGCTCTCGGTCTCCCAAGAATAAATAAAACATTGAAAAATAAAATAAAAATTTAGTAAGTTGAAATACTAAGTCCATCTATTCTAATGTCAATTCCTCTCTAATCTAAATTTCCAGTTCCAACCTTCGACTGAAGGTTGCCATTGATGTACAAAGTATCAAAATTAATGTTAATCAAGATGAAAATTTAAAAAATGAATACATTGGGATTCACAAATGGCACTGTGCAAACGCTGTTTCAGCAAGCTGGAGCTAGTTATAAATTATGGAAGACACGTACTTAGAGAAGAAAAGCTGTCAAAAAATGTCAGTTCTCTCCATTGAAAAGATGAAGAAGGGGATTTTGAAAGTGTTACTGAGTCTGGTTCCATGAACCCCAAGAAAGTAGAAAGATGATACATTTAGTTTTAGGGGCCCCTGGGTGGCTCAGTCGGTTAAGCTCAAGCATCCAACTTTAAGTTTCGGCTCAGGTCACGACCTCAGGGTTTGTGGGACCCAGCCCCGTGTCTCACTCCACAAAGTCAGTGGATTGGAATTCTCTCTCTGCCCCTCCCCTGCTCATGCTCGCTTTCTCTCTCAATAAATAAACTTAAAAAAATTAAATACATAAATTTTGTTTTAATATAAAAAATTCAAACCTAGAAAAATATCGTGGGGTTTTAGTACATCGTACATCTATTTTGCAAATGTTTAATATTTTTTCTACTACCTTAATATTCTGCAATCAACCTAATCATTAAAATATATGAAACACGTATAAAGGGACACTTTTTTTCTTTCACCTTGGGTTCTCATATGGGTTAAGAGGCAACTCTCTATTTAAATTTTTGATATACTTTACAAAACTTTTGATATTTAAAAATATATTTAAAATATTATTTACCTTGATTATGGAGTTTTTTGGTTCCCTTTCAGATGTCGCTCTTGCAGCAAGTGTCTCACTGGCGGAAGAGAAAAGAGATGCGTTTAAAGAAATAATCTCTTCTTAGTGTTGACACCCAATCGCAATGCCGTTTGAACGAGGCAACGGTTAAGAAGAACTGCCCACCCCGGTCTAGAAACGTGCCCGGTGTGTTAGAGACATCCAGCAGTTTCCCTCCTGCGCGCCTCTCCACCCCTCACACGCAGCAGCCCACCTCGGACGCTTCTGGTTACCGAGCTGCGGGGTCTTTCTGAGGCGGGAAACAGGCCGGAACACCAGCCTCGGCCCCAGGCTGGGTGTCGGGGACGCGCGGGAGCGGCGCCCGCGGGGCCTCCTTACCTCAGGTGGTCGCAGGGCCACACGCGGGTCCGCGGGGCCCCCGGCCCCCCCGCCCCGCCCCGCCCCGCGCGTGCGCTGCAGAGGCCGCGGCTCCTCTGCCCACGGGGCCTGTCCCTCTGCTTTAATAAAGCCCCCTGTTTGCACCAAAGACGTCTCAGGAGCGCTCTCCTGGCCGCCTGCCGCGAGCCCGCTCCAGATCTCGGCCCCCCGCCCCCCGCAAGTCTCCATGACCCCAGGGGGCGTCCGGAGACGGCCCCCCGCTTCACCGCAAGCTAGGACGCAGCTCGCCCGCGAGCAGAAGGGCGGAGGGTGCGTGCAGCGCGGGCTGGGAGGCCCGTGTCCCTGGGGAGCCGGGTGCGTCACCCCTGACCCGGAAGCTCTCTGCCGCCCTCGCGTTCGGGACCTTTGCGAGGTCATGTGAGGTCAGCCCTCCAGGCCGTCGTTTGCCGCCGCTGCTCACGGCGTGGGGGCCTCGCCTCCAGCGCCGGCAGGTGCTGCTGCTGTAGGAGCAGAGGCTGGTGGGAGGCGCAAGCTAGCGTTTCCTTTTCTTTTTCTTAAATTCAACTTACTTAACACACAGTGTTGTCGTGGCTTCAGGAGTAGAACCCCGCGATTCACCTCGTACGTACGTGCAACACCCCGCGCTCGTCCCACCAACGTCTTCCTCACTGCCCGGCTCCCATTCGCCACCCCCCCCCAGCAACCCTCAGCTTAGTGTCTGTATTTAAAACGCTTATGGTTTCGGGGCGCCTGGGGGGCTCAGTCGGTTGGGCGTCCGACTTCGGCTCAGGTCATGGCCTCACGGTTCGCGGGTTCGAGCCCCGCGTCGGGCTCTGTGCTGACAGCTCAGAGCCTGGAGCTGCTTCACATTCTGTGACTCCCTCTCTCTGACCCTGCCCTGCTCATGCTGTCTCTCTCTCTCTCTCTCTCAAAAATAAATAAAATATTAAAAAAAACCTCTTACGGTTTGTCTCCCTATTTTTATCTTATTTCTCCTTCCCTTCCCCTATGTTCTTCTGTGGAGTTTCCCAAATTCCACATATGCGTGAAATCATACGGTATCTGTGTTTCTCTGACTGAAATTAGCCTTTTTCTTTGTGTCTTCGAAGCCCTGGGTCCTAGGCGGACACTCTTCCCTCAGCCCCACGGCCCTGAGGGGGACACGTTCTTCATCTTCCATCCTTCCATCTCCTCGGGGGAAACTCTGGTCCTTCTTGGGGGGAGAAATTCCTGCAGGGGAGGATGTCTTGCTTCAGTCCCTTCCGCAGAAGCAGTGATTTGCTTGTGCTGTGGAGACAGTAAGGTATGCGGGTCCTCCTCAGTACCTGTGACCTGTGCCTTGTATCTGGGAAGTCAGGCTGGACGTTGTGAGTGACACCCCCTCCCCATAGGCGTTGTTCATCTCGTGCACTTGCTCCACCCAGGGGGCCTCTGTCCGGCCCCCACCCTGCCCCCCAGCTTTCTTCAAAGCACTTGGTGAAGGAGCATGAGGAGCTTAGCAGTGAGCTCCGATTCTCTCGGTGCAGGGTCCTCGGCTATTTCCAACTGCATCACAGCCTCGCTCTGCCTTTAAGAACGTGTTAATACTTGGGCTCAAGTCTTCTTCCCCACCATGTCCCTGCCCTGGGACGGCCACCGCTCTGTGCTGAAGACGTGAAACTGCGTTTCCCATTTGTCCTGCAGGGGACTTGCAGCTTCCTCAGTCACACAAGAAAAGTCATGATTTTGTAAATTATTTGGCTTTTTGAGAAAAGTACTTTTCCCCCCTAGCTGTTTATTTCCTAGGCAGAAGCAAAAAGCCCAAGGCTACAGAGATGAAATAAATATAGTTTTGTTTACCGGGCGCTGTGATTAGCAATCCATAAACATTCCTTTTCAATTTCACAGTAACGTCAAATGCTGGGTATTCTCGATCCCATTTTACATACGAAACAATAGGCTTTTTCCAGAGGCCAAAGAGTAATTGCCAGAGCAAGGATTCACACCTAGTTCTGTCTGACTCTACAGCTCAGAATCTGTGCTTTCCACTGCTCACTGTTGCGTCTGTAATCAATGAGTCTGGAGAGATCAAGTGGAGACATTTATAAAAATAATCACGACACAGCGGTAGAAGTCCACATAGGGGTAAGCACAAGACACAGAGACCTTGCAAAGAGTGATCTCCAGACTTACAGGATCAGGGATGTGTGACCAGAGATGATTTCTAGAACGCTTCTTGATGGATGAGTAGGCATCCATTATAAAGAAACAGGTGACATAGGCCACATATTGTGCCCATTCAGCTTCTTTAGGATTATCTTCCTGTATTTATTTCCCAGTGGTGCTTCCCCTAAGGTGGAGGCCAGTACTTGGTGCCCATGTCTCCCGGCTGCCGAGTCACAGGTAACTGAGCACCACAAGTTAGATATTCTTGCCTAAGGTTCGAATCGGAAAGAGGCGATGCATGGAGCCCATTTCCTGAGGAGGAGATAGAGAGCTCAGGGACTGTGCAGTGGAAGCTTCTACTCTCTGGGTTCCTGGGGGGCTCAGTCAGTTAAGCATCTGACTCTTGATCTCGGCTCAGGTCATGAGCTCATGGTTTGTGGGATCGAGCCCTGTGTCAGGCTCTGCGCTGACAGTGTGGAGCCTGCCTGAGATTCTCCCCTTCCCTCTCTCTCTGCTCTCTCTCCCTCTCTCTCAAAATACACAAGTAAACTTAAACAAAAAAAGGAGTGCCTTGCTCAGTGTCCTTGCTCTTACGCATGTGTCCACTGGGAGCTGGTCACTTGGGGGCAGATCGGTGACATATTTTTGGCATTGTTCTCACCTGCCTTGCCTTCAGCCAGGTGCTCTGCCTTTCCCACAGAGTCTGCAAACTATCTAGTGTGTGTTCATGAATTCACCTGTGGCTTGGCTGAGCTAGAGTAGGCTCTGTTGGTTATACCTGGGACCCCTGTCTGAAACCGAGCAGTGCAGGGAGAGGTAATTATTAGCAGGGAAAGATCAGGAAGCACTCTGAAAACCGTAGCTGTGAGTAGTAACTGGGTGTTGCTGGAGCGGCAGGTGAGTGAGAGAAGATAGCGCAAATCTTGACAGGTGTCGCATAACACACACACTGAGTTATTTTTGTCAGGAAGGGCCACGACAGGGCCATGTGCGTGGTTTAGGAAAATCGCCCCAACAGCCGTGTAAAGAACAGACTTAAGGGAGATACAAGTGAGACAGGCAGCAAGGGGACCTTTCGGGAGCATTGTAGTAACCGCACGGAGAAATCATGAGTCACTGAAATGTCACTCTCAGAACGGATGAAGAGCATGGGGTGCGGGAGGAAGATGTTTGGGAGACATAAGAAACGGGATGTTAGTTGGCTGGATGTGAGAATTATAAAGGAAGGGGGTTCTAGAATGACATTCATGCTTCTCAGCTGCGAGATTAGGTAAATGGTAGGACCGCTCACCAACACAGGGAATCGAAGAGGAGGGAGGAAGGCAGAGGAAAAGATGAGGAACCGGATGTGTTTCAGTTGAGAAGTCAAAAAGGAATAACCCGTATGAGATTGGATATGTGGGATTGGAGTGAAAAATAGCGACTTCTGAGTTATTGGTGCACGGGTGATTGTAGACATCTTGATGGTGGTAAGATCAACCAGGTGGAATATGTCCTACGAGACGAGAAAGAGGCAGAGGGTACAACCCTGGGTAATATCAGTAAGTTGTTTGGAGGAAATGGGGAACATGAAGTAAGAGGGAAAAGAATAAATAAACAGATAACTGGGAGGGAACTAAAGAATAAAGAGATCGATTGGGTTAGTTCCATATTGAAAATAATCAGCTAATATGGCCACAAGATGTTTATTGGTGACCTTGGTATGGACATTTTGACAAAGTGATGGAGCCAAATAGAGGAGTAAAATAGAGGATGAAAGGTCACTCTTTGCAGTGACCAGGGTGTGAAAGGAAGGAGAGGTGAGTCATCATCCGGAGTAAGATGAGCAGGTGAATGATCACAAGGTCACCTACATTTCTGTTGGTGTCGGTGACTTCAATCACACAGGCAAAGACTGATGGGAAGTCAAGCAGCCACAGGGCGAGGGCTCAAATGAAGTATCTCCACTGGCCTTGAAGTTACTTGAGATGATACTAGCACTCAGCGTTCAGTGGCAGAATGGGCCACATGCTATAATGTGACCTCGATGAATGTGAAGCAATGACAGACAATACAGCAGACACAGGGGACAAGTGGGTGATCCATTTGACAGCAGGGTTAGGTGACCTAGAGCTCAAAGAGGCAGGGTAACTGTAGGGATAGACATCCCTTTGCCTTCTAGGTTTGTGGGATGTGGAGTGATGGTGTCAGGGGCTTGGACAGTGTTCTGGGGGGGCCTGGGGGGGGCCTGACTTTGTGCTGAGGGCACCAGGGAGAGTGATGTCAAGGTCAGGGGGAGAAGGAGGCATTGGGAAGGTGAACGGGGAGAAGGATGAGAAGCACAGGAGTGGACTGAGAGAGAATTCAGGATGAGCGAGAGAGGTTGTAGGGACGATTTCCATGTGAGGCTGTGACCAAGGATGACATGGATGGAGGCCTCATGGACTGACCTCAGAGTTCCCGTGCGGGTCTGAGGCCCCACGATCCAGAAGCTGCTGCCTTGACGGTGGTCTTGGAATATGAATGGTGTCACCAGACTTTAACTGTGCTTAGATTTACGAACAATACTGGTGGGAGTCACGGCTCTGCGAAGTCTCAGGCAGATGGAACTAGTCAATTTCATCTTTCTATAAATTTGAAACAGCACCAGTTTCAGGTGACTGAAGAGTTAGGTAAATCTTCAGGAGGAGACAGCTACAGCCTAAATTGTTCCAAATCCCTTCTTTGTTAAAAAAAAAAAAAAAAAAAAAGGAGTCTGGGGCATCCGGGTGGGTCAGTCGGTTAAGTGTCTGACTTCGGCTCAGGTCATGATCTTACAGCTCGTGGGTTCTAGCCCCACGTCGGGCTCTGTGCTGACAGCTCAGAGTCTGCTTTGGATTATGTGCCTCCCTCTCTCTCTGCCCCTCCCCTGCTCACACTCTGTGTGTGTCTCTCTCTCTTTCAAAAATAAATAAACATAAAAAAATTTTTTTTCTTTCTTTCTTTCTTTCTTTCTTTCTTTCTTTCTTTCTTTCTTTCTTTCTTTCTTTCTTTCTTTCTTTCTTTCTTTCTTTCTTTCTTTCGACAGAGAGGAACAGAGAGAGACAGAGAGAGAGAGAGAAAATCCCAAGCACCCTCCACACTCAGTGCAGAGCCCGACATGGGACTCAGTCCCACACGTCTGGGATCATGACCTGAGCTGAAATCAAGAGATACACGCTTCACCGACTGAGCCACCCAGGTGGTCCTCATTTCTTCATTCACTGAGCCAGTGAGTTCATTCAATCACATGTGGGAACTCTGATGGCCAGGGACTATAGACCTTTTCATCTTGAGCAGTACCTCTCTGCACAGTATACAGCTGGAGCTAAATGTTTAGGAACTGCACAAGTGTTGGTCAAACGTACAGACTTGGAGAAAGGAATCATACTAATCTACTTGAGCAGGCTCCCATTGTGTTTGGGATTACATGAATACAAATCTCCTCAATCACCCCCTCACCCGAGCCGTGGATTAGGCATTATAATTTACTGGAATATTTAGGTCTGTGTTCTAGAGGTCCTCTCACACCTACCTCTTCTCCACGTCCAGGAAACACTGAATGAGACTTTGCACTTTGCCATGAGGAAGCACAGGTCCGATTCTAGACTTCTGCACATTTCGGTGCGAACGAGACATGTAATTAGGGTTATTTCTGGCCTAGCATGAACCCAAACATGGGACTTAGAATTTTCTCCTTGACTCTCTTTAATCCAACCGCAAATACCAGCCTGTGGTTCATAGAAAAATTTGTCTGCAGGTCGTGGGAAGCGGCATCGATTGAACATTAACACACCTGACGGTGAAAAAATCATTTGTTAAGAATTCCTTTTCTCCCAGGTTCTTTTGACCACCCACGGCTGCCCTACGGCCTTTTACCCAGCTTTCTGCTTTCTTAACATCTCCTTTGCCTTATCTTTTGTTTCCCTCGTTCTTCTGCCTGCCTCTTCCTCCAAAGAAAATAAAATCAAAGCAAGATTAACAGGTTATTCTATTTCACGGGAAATAATTAAGTTCTCTGGGTTTTTTTGAGATACAATTTCCAAATTTCATCTTTGCTATTCCTAACTTGTCAAAATCATTTCTTAAAGAATGGCTCTAGTTTGGCAAGACCCCTGCTGCTAGCTGTTTAGAAAATATGTAAACAGGGGCTCCTGAGTGGCTCCGTCAGTTAAGCGTCTGACTTCAGGTCAAGCCGTGATCTCACGGTTTGTGAGTTCGAGCCTCGCATTGGGCTCTGTGCTGACAGCTCAGAGCCTGGATCCTGTTTCAGATTCTGTGTCTCCTTCTTTCTCTGCCCCTCCCCAACTTGTGCTCTGTCTCTCTCTCTCTCAAAAATAAATAAACATAGAAGAAAATTAAAAAAAGAAAATGTGTAAACACACCACCTGTTGCATGTGCATGTAGGCTCACAAATGCTAAGTACTGTAGCTGCTAGACCGTCTGGAATGAAACACTCTCTAGGGATGAGCATGAGAGTGCACACGCTTCACGCAGCACCACGTAGATAATTCCAATGAATCTGCATGACTCCAATTTGTCTTTCCAGAAACTCCCCTGATGTCACTTTCGTTCAGTTCTTTTCTATTTGCACTTCCTTCGTGTTGCAAATTGGAATATTCTGTTTTCTGGGAAAATTATTAGAGCACGTTTTCTTTTTCACTGATACCAACGTGATATATGAATGTGTGCTTATGCGCTGACAAATACATATTTTACACTTACTGTGTGCTCTGCCTTCGGGAAATGGATGAGTTCACAGCCAGCAGGTCGGGAGCAGCTCGAAGCCAGAGCTGTAACAGGGGGAGCTGGCGTTTTTAATTAGTAGCTACGGGATTGAGTGTAGCCAAGTGGTTCTCCTTTGCAGCCTTCACACGTGGTCATTTTGTACAGTTAACCAGCTGATGTAGCTGCAGAATTCGTTTTGCCTGATGTATTCGGGAGCTTGCACACTAGATGGTGAGCTCGCTTGCTTGGTAACTGAGCTCTTTGTGGAACTAAATGCTTTCACTTAAATGTTTTTAACTCAAAATTTTTTTAATGTTTTATTTATTTCTGAGAGAGAGAGAGAGAGAGAGAGAGAGAGACAGCATGAGCAGGGGAGGGTCAGAGAGAGAGGGAGACACAGAATCTGAAACAGGCTCCAGGCTCTGAGCTGTCAGCACAGGGCCCGACGCGGGGCTCAAACCCACAAACCATGAGATCTGACCTGAGCTTAACCGACAGAGCCAACCAGGTGTCCCTAAATGTTTTTAACTTAAACATCAATGTTTAAAAAAAATTTTTATGTCTTTTATTATTATTATTTTTTTTAAAATTTTTTTTTGTTTTATTTATTTATTTCTAGGAGAGAGAAACAGCGTGAGCAGGGGAGGGTCAGAGAGAGAGGGAGGCACAGAATCTGAAACAGGCTCCAGGCTCTGAGCTGGCAGTCAGCACAGAGCCCGACGCGGGGCTCGAACCCACGAACCGCGAGATCATGACCTAAGCGAAAGTCGGACGCTTAACCGACTAAGCCACCCAGGCGCCCCTCTATTATTTTTATTTTGAGAGACAGAGAGCAAGTGGGAGAGGGGCAGAGAGTGAGGGAGACACAGAAGCTGAGGCAGGCTCCAGGCTCTGAGCTGTCAGCACAGAGCCCGACTTGGGGCTCGAACCCAGAGACTGTGAAATCACGACCTAAGCCGAAGTCGGACGCTTAACCGACTGAGCTGCCCAGGCGCCCCAAACATCAATGTTTTAAAATCACATTACCTAGCTCTATAGCATTTCCTCAGATTGGAGTCCAGGTTTATACCCATGGCAGATTTAAAATTTGGTTTTTGGCAAAATTATTCCATAAGAAATAAAGAAATTTAACTACAGAATGCTATTATTAATATAGAAATGAAAGAAAACAAAGACATAAAAGTATAAAAAAATACAACTTTTAAACTTTCCATCATTAATTCACTCAGACTTCACGAGATTTTTAGAAGAATGGGTGAAACCAAACCAAAACCCTGGTTTGGGTTATTTAGTTACCTTATGACAATTTCTCTAGCTAAACAAATTATTCCACAGGTAGGTACGTGGACTACCTTCTCCTCTGATCAGAAAATGCATCAGATCATCTTGTTGTCGGTTTTTTGTTTCTTTCTGTTCTGTTTTGCCTTTCCTTCCTTCCTTCCAGTGAGATGGGCAAGGTCATGAAATCAGCCAACCTTCTGCCTTCCTCTGACTTGCTATCTGCTTCACACACACTCTCGGGACTGTTCTGAGGAGAGATGTCTTTCTGCTTCCACTTAATGAAATTAAGTCAATTCCAAGTCATTCATTCAACAAATATTTATTAAGCACCTACAATATGCCAGGCACTGTGCTGGGTGCTGGGGACACAACTGTGGACAAGACAGACACAGTCCCTGCCCTCAAGGGGCTTACAGTCTAGAAGTTACACAGACAAGTACGCGGGCAGTTACAAGGCGGTGCGGCAAGGGCTGTGACGGGGAGAGGACACCGAGAGGGCACCTAACTCAGTCTCATAGGCAGCGGGGGGTGGACAGCCATGGACGGCGTCCTGGGGGAGGTGCAGATTTGGTGCTGAAGGATAAGGACAGGTTAGTCAGGTAAAGAGACAAGGGGCACTCACAGCTCCAAGAAATAGTATATGCAGTGTCCTGTGTGCCGCTCTTGAGGTTTGTGGGTGGGCGGGGCTGGGGAGGGGGAGAGAGATCATGGAAGAGAGAAGTGAACACCGGGTCGTGAAGGGACTCATTTGCTCTCGTAAGAGCTTGGGATTTTTCCTGAGGGAACGGTGCGTGTGAGTGTGTCCTCAGACCTGCGCTGGCAGAGACTGAACGGGGGGGCGGAAACCCTGCGTGGAAGCCAGGTGCTCCGCCCTCCACCTGTCCCTAAGTCCTCGGCCATGACGCCACACCCTGGGCTCCCTCCAGCCCAGTCTGGCTGCACACGCTCCTTCAACAGGCTGCTGAGGAGCACGCGTCGGGGCCCTGCTCGCCCCTGAGGCTCACCTCCTCCACCTGTGAAAACTCGACTCCTCCTTCAAGGCCACACCTCCGAAGTCATCCTAACTTGTGCTTTCTGCTGAGATCTCTACGCGTTGTGGTGTTTATCTGGACCACACGGCTTATTTATTACTTTGAATGATCCAAACCTTCCCGTGAGCCATATTAATTTCACCCATACAGAGAGTGGGTTTTGGAAATCAACATGGGTATAATTTTCTTCACCATTTCCGGTTGAAAACAAGGAGCAATTCTTCATGTTTCTGGTCTACCATAAACGCCCCTTGGTGCCTTTGAGTGTTTTGAATGGAACGAGGGGAACGGGGGGCTGGGGGGTGAAGCCCAGGAGACACGTTATTTTGTGCAGCAGAGTGTACGGTCAAGTACAATTTGAACACACAATTACAGAGTATGTTGCTTTTATGACAATGGATCGCTCCCCGATTCAGACACTCCGCCCGTGACAATGTCACGGCTCACAAGGCAAACGTCTGTAAAAGAGGGCGGCTTATTATTTGAAGGCGGTAAGGGCTAAGGACACGCTCCAACGTGGCCCACACTTGACTTCTACAAATCCCCTCCTACATAGTCTTAGAATTTCTCAGGCAACTTTTAGAATGGGAAGAAAAAAACCCTTAAGCTCTGTGGATATCATAAGAATGTCCGTTGTTTTATTCTTTTTGGCGGGTACAAAAACCACAATTTTGTACACAGAAGGAGATTATAAATAATACTGATAACATGAGTGACCCGTAGTCTCTCTCGCTTCCACACTGCAGACTGATGACTTCCCAGGACGTCGTTTTCGTGTTGCCTGAGTTCCCGGTACCGAGACAAATGTGACCTGTGGACACCGACTCATGTGACAGAGGGGGAGTTACGGCAACGAGGAGGTGACCAACAACATTTGTAAAAAAAAAACTCAAAAAACTCTCTAAAGTTGATTGCAGTGATGGCATTTATATCAATTATTGCAATGTACTGTTCCCTAAGATGGTTAGAAAAAGGAATCGTGTTGTCCTCTACTGAACTGACGTTGGTTAAAAAGCAAGCATGTTTCAGTATGTTTTCTCCAAAGTGAGTGTAAATACTTCCTTTAAATGTTTTTCACAGGATTTACATGTGTTTATTTTCTTCTTATCACAGTTGAGTGACGTGTTTTCTCAGCTGGAGAGTCCTCCACGGAACACGTGGGTGCTCTGGAGACAGGTTAGCAGGTTCATGGACTTCTCTAACTACTTGGCCCCTTGCGGTGAAGACGGAGGCCTTTCTGAGCAAGAACTTCACAGTTTGATGCGCTAACTCGCAAGTCTGATTAGTTTTTAAGTCCACTCGAGTGAAATTTGTTGCTGTTAATACGCCCATCCCAGCTCCCCTCCCCCCACCCCACTCCCCGAGAAAACCTAAATTGTGAGTTTTCCTGATATAAAATCTGAGTTTGGGTTTCCGAGCTGAGCTCATGCACGCGTTGCTGCTGGGCCGGCGGGAGCATCGGGAGGCGCCGCCCGCTCCGGCCCAGAGGCCTGGTCCGCAGCACCTGCACAGTGCGCGGGCTGCGCTCCCGTCCGTCACCAGCACAAGTTTGATTAAGGCACTCAATTATGTTTTTGGTTTTCATGGTAGGTCCGATGCAATGACAGCCAATCCCGAACTCTGTCTAATCGTCGTTCCCGCGTGCACCGCCTTGGGGCAGTCGGGCGTCAAAACGCGGCCATTCTCACCCACGCTCCCAGTGATGGATAGTCTGGCTTTGTTTCTTATGGCTTCAGAAAAGGTCAGCTGGGTGCATGGAAAGGAAACAGAGAGAGTGTGCAGTGTTACGATGCTTCTGTTCCTTCGGCAACGTGAGACACAACAAACACCAAGATATCAATAATTAGACATCTGCATTTTTTCCAATATTCTCTGTGCTCGTAGGAGAACTGTGCGTGCCAGGAAAGGAAAGCTCAGCCACCCCGAGAATGAATCGGCCTCCAATTTGGGCTTCTACCTGTTTCGGAACTAAATTTGAAACCGGAACTAATTTTGGGTTGGCACATCTGGGCAGGACGCGGGTTTCGCCTCGTGGCCCCCTAGGGCCCGGGACGCCTGGTCCCGTCGATAATCTCGCCTATGCTCACCATTGGCAATCGATCCCGCTCTCGTTGGAAAACGTCTTTACGGTGCCGGCAGTACCCTCCAAACCGTGATGAGCTAAGAAACGGCACCTACATTCTTGACAGGTGTTCCTGTCTGGGGAACACAGATCTATCCCCAGACACCTTCATTCATTCGCACCAGGTGTACACATGACCCGGAACAGCACGATTCGTGCCTTATTAGCGTCTTCTGGAAGCAAATTCGTATTTTAGGGAGCTCTGAGTGCTTGAGTGGGGGCGGGGGAGGTGCACGGAAAGGGGGTGTGTTTCAATTCCTCACAAACTGTCCTTGATGGGGAACCTCGTAGCCTGAAGCTACGGGTCAGGATTCTGAAATCCTCATGAAATTCCTACTCTCTGTCACAATGAGTCAGTAGCAGGTAACAAAATTATGCAGAGGAGAGACAGGCAGTGTTATATAAATCTAATGGCTGCTCATTCATTGTCTTTAACTTTTTTCTAGTAGCTGAATTTTAGCGTTAAGTCCAGAGGAAAATAAGGTAAACCAGATGTTCCCTAAGTTTGTTATGGCTCATTATTTATTTTTCATAACTTATGATATTTCTTAATTCCCTGCTGTGAACACAAGCTTACCTAATTCCTTAGGGATTCTATCCCTGGAACTTAAATATCAGACTAATTATATATGAAATTGTGAAATTAATAATGGGAGCAGAAAATGGTGTAATGTAAAGGTTTAGGGATCAGATACCCTGATAAAGTCACACTGTTAGTCAGTAGCTTATCGATGATAAAAACCAAGGTCATTATCATAGTTCTGTAGCACACAGGCTGAGCAGTTAATTTTTATTTTCGAAATCAGAAGTCGGGATACAATCTCTACAGAAACTACTTATAACTAAATTAAAATAAACCAGGACCAGAGTTTGAATTTGTTTCCTCAGATTCCCTTTCAATATTCAATATTAAGTAAAATAATTATTTTTTAAAAATCTAGTGGTTTAATCTGTTTTCATGTTTTTTGAAGAGGAAATATAATTAATAAAAGCGTTAATTTTTTTTGAAAGGACTTTTTTTTTTTTTTCCCAGAAGGCTTTTGCTGTTAAATCTATTTTGGTTTCCTTTCTGTTCTTGATTGGCTTTGTGAAGAAAGGAACATATCCAAATGGAAAATATTCCATACACAGATTCAAGTAATCTTCTATAGATTACTTCTCTATAGAGTAGTGCAATTTTGTCTTTAAATCTTAGCATTCTTAGTTAAAATTAGTTTTTAATGTTCATTTATTTTCAAGAGGGGGGAGGGGCAGCGAAAGAGGGAGACAGAGTTCCGAGCAGGCTCCAGGCTCCGAGCTGTCAGCACAGAGCCTGACGTAGGGCTTGAAGTCACGAACTGTGAGATCATGACCCGAGCCAAAGTCGGATGCCTAACTGACTGAGCCACCCCAGGCGCCCCTTAGTATTCTTAGCTTTTAGCATTATTCTGTCTTACACTACGTCTCCTGCTTCTTCCATAAAATGTCATTTCTATTCAGCTTGCTGCGAACCTATCAGGGCTGCTCAAATTGGAAAACTTTTCCTATGAACTTATACATGGTCTGGGTTATCTTACATTGTTGAGACTAAAGGCAATGACGTTAAGTGTATGTGTTCCTGTGTAGGATAATCACTTTTAGAGTAAATATTTTACATATTGAAGGCTTCAGGTTTTGTTTTTGAGATTCTAGAATATTAAATTATCAAAAAAATTGCGTAATTGTGGATAATAGAGTTTTTGGAAAGAAAAATGTACAGTCTTCTTCGTGCAAATCATTTCACTTACCCTGAACGCCATTAAGTCTTTTTAAAAATCATGGACACGAATGGAGGTGAATCATTTGTTAAGTTGTAGTGCCTGGTTCTGACTCCAAAAACACTATTACATGTAAGTTGTATGCATACAAGCTGGGAATTTATATCTCTTTAGCAACTTCCCAGAATTCTGTAATGAACTGGCATCCGTGTTTGTTTCTAGAATTTTCTAAGGTTCTTTTTCTTTTCCTTGCAACCCTGCCCTTGGACCTTGTTGATGGGTGGAATGTTGGTGCTATGCCAAAGAAAAGTCAGTTGTAATGAACCGGTAATAAAAAACCAAACCAAACCAACCAACCAACCAAACAAACAAAAAAAAACACCCTCCAAAAAGATCTTCATTTTAAGACATAAAAGTCATTCCAGAATTAAATCCAAGTAATTATCTCTGAAAACTTGTCAGATATTGTTTCTCTCAGTTTGGGAAAATCTCTCCTCATCTGTGAAACTATTAAGATACAAGCATTTCTATAATAGCCAAGAGACCTTGACGTTATCATTGTTCGTTGTTTTGCGATCGGGAGATGAGCTGAAAACATTCTGATCTGAGTGAACTGAGAGTTTGTTCTTAATTCTTATACCACAAAATTGGGAAAGAACCATTTGGGGCTTATCTGTGTGCACTTATCCTCAGGCATCCATTGATTTCTAGATTCTAGACAAAAGCAGTTAGATCTTGGTAAAAGAGAGCGGCTTTGTTCTCTGTTTTAATATACTAGCAAAGTGTTTCAATAGCCTTTTATATAAACAAATATCAAAATTAAGCATATTTATCTGGCAGTACCTCAGGTGTACATCTTGGGAAAATTATCTTGGGTTTTTGAGTCTCGGTTCCATCAAGCACTGAATGTCTCTTGTGGGCTCAAAGGCTCATATGTCATTGTAAACAGAATGAGCAGCGTATTTAGGTGAGTATTATGTATAATTTTAGAAAATGGGTCTTACAGACCTGATTTTAGGAAGAGCAGTAACAAATGCTTTCTGATCTTGTTTTAAAAACCACTTTCTCTCATTAGAGGAAAAATGGAGTGGACACTTGATTGTTAAAAATATTATCCCCATCGCCTACATTTCACTGAATGTTTACGACTGTTTACTGTGGCCCAATGAGAGCATGTGAGGAAGTGGGTGGACCTGGTGTACTTAAAAGCAACGGAAACGGGAGGAAAAAGACGCCATCATAATTCACTGTGATTTTTATCTTTTGCTGTCTCCTCCCAAAGAACATGTACATTGCTGACATCGTTGATGGAGAAATTGCTGTCTTGCCTAAAATGTACACTGTGAACATAAAAGCTGAATTTTGTCGAATACATATGAAATTGTGGTCAACAGGACGACCACTCGTACCTAAAGGTCTGGCTCAAGGTACTGTCAGATGAACAAAGAGCAGGGTTGCACTCTTAAAAAATACAGAATGATGGTTAATGCAAAACGGATCAGAATAGGAGCTAAAATTTTTTGAGCACTTACTGTGTGTTTGGAGTTGTTTCTAAAAAAAACTATATAATCACATTGAAACAGGCAACTGTCTAAGCACTGATCATGTGAAGCAGTTTTAGGCTTATTTTGTTAGCAATTCTCCTAAAATTGGATTGTTCCGCAGTAAACCCCAGAACTGATTTCCATTTTCTCCCAAATTTGGGGGCGGGAACGCTGTTGCGATCATTTTACTGAGCAATCCTGGAGGCCTCTGTTTGTCTTTGTGACCCTTTCAATGCAGATGTCTATTGGCAACATAAAGTTTCGAACAGTGCATCTGCAGCCAAAGAAAACCGAACCACTTCGCACTTGAAGTTTTCAAAAATATAAAGCTCTACTCGGAAGCAAGCACTATCACCACTGGACAGAGAGGTCACAACACTGCGTTTACAGGATGCATCGCCCACTCACTGTAGAAGCCCTAAGTCCTACCCCTAAATTTTAATACTTTCGGTTCCATATACGTTGTAACCTTCTCTATAGGTTGCTAAATTCTGGGTATTCTGCGAGGAAGTTGGGTTAAAAGTCTGTGCACTCTTTGCCACCTTCATTCTCTTCGCTTCTGCCCTGGACTTGTAACAGAACTCTACCAAAGCCACCAGCATCGCCAAGCCCAGGCCGCCGACCAGAATGTAGAAAACGCCCGCCACATTGCTCAGGCTCAAGGCGCTCGTCTTGTCCTGGGGGGAGGGGGGGGAAATAAAGACATTGCAGTTAACCGCGGAAGTGTCACACCCGGAAGGCATAACAACGCACGAAATCCAGACAACTAGTTAAAGCAAGTGCCCAGCTGAACCTGAAATTATTTACGTGCGTAATTATTTACTGATGTAGGTTTACAGACTTAAGCATAAAGCTTATATAGCTCTCAGGAGAAGTGAAATTAGGATGATTACTGATAAATTTGTGTGTAATTACAGTCAATAAAAGTTGTGACATTTTATCATTACTAAATATGCAGGCAAAAACCACCCCACTCAGCCAGAGAGCAGCGTTTATGTATTTACGTAGCGAGGCAGAAGTGGGCTTGTTACGAAGTTTGAAAACGGCATGTTCAAAACCCAGTTACACGGGAAGGAGATGCCTCCTAGTTTTCCCGCCACTACGCATGCTTAGGGTGTTTGAAATTTCTCTTGAATAAATCTCACTTCAGGTTTCCTACTTAAGGAACTCCGGTTTTTCAAGGTACCAGTTTCACATTTTCTCATTGTTGCCCTACCAAATATTTGGTCTTAATGTGCTAGGTCCACGTGATTTGTTCCCTCAGTCACGTGTGCATGGGAATCTTAAATATTATATGGCCTTTGGGAATAATGATGTATTCATCACACTTCGGTAGCTTTTAAAAAAAATAACCTCAAAAAATACACAAATTACCATGGCTAATCGAGACATAAATTATTTTTGTATGGATTAGTTGATGACTATTTTTTTTTTTTTGGCTGAAAAGTCAGATTCCACTCCCACTTAAAAATACTTAATCAGTTAATACTTTAGGCATATTATTCTACAGAGCCTTCATATACATATATTATCTCGTAAGAAATTTGGAGATAGTCAAGCATATGATTGGAAGATACTAAAATTGTAAAAATAATTTAGAATTTTTTCATAATTTGTAAAAACAGACGTCTATTACGTCACCTCGTTTGAGGACGTACTTTGGGCAGACTACGTGCACGAGGCCCTGTGGCCGTCGTCGCCAGCCGTCTGTTCTGTGCGAGACGTGAGTCAGACACTTGAATAGTTTTATTAGGGGAGTATTTAAATCAAAAGATATACTATGTACCCAGTCGGCTTAGCCGTAATATTAGCTGACTGGGCCAAAAATTTAGGGTAACTTCACTTTTAAAATAGTCGCTCATTAAGTATTTATGCTTTTCTGACTCTGCGTCAGGATCTGAGAGAACGACTTCCGTGTTTGGCCAAGCGGGTCTCATTCCGCTCTGGTTCAAAGGCAGGAAAAAAGTGACAAAAACGGAGGGGTCAGCTCTGAAAAGCGATCATCAGTTAACAGTACTTAGTCTCTTCCTTAAATTAACGGAGGCTCTCCATTTACTTGTTTAATGTCTTAGAAGAACCAGTATTTTTTTCTTTGTAAAAGAAGATGAAAAATTTCAAGAGTCTCCAGCCATGGCCTTCGGCCCCCGCTATTAGTCTATTTTGCTGTGCAGGTAACTCGGTTTCCTGACAAGCGGTTATACGATTTCCTCTAGGAGGAAGCATCTCCTTCAGAACGTAAGCCGGTTCCCATCCGCGCGCGGCTGAGTCGGGGGCGCACCCGCTGCGACAGGAACGCACAGCCGAGAGGCCGTAGCTGGGGCCGCCGCTCCCGGACACCGGCTCCCCGGGCCACGCGGACGGGCTCCCGGCCGGTCGCCGCGAGGCGCCGAAGCGAGGGCGGAACCGGACGCCGCGCAGCGCCGCGTCGCGCGCCGGCCTGCGGGGCGGGGCGGGGCGGGGCTCGGTCCCTCCCCGGAGGGCGGCCGGGAGCTTCCCGCTTCCCGTGTGGGGGACCCGGGGGTTCCGCGGCGCCGGCCTGCGCGCACGGGAGGCCCCGGCACCGCGGGACCCGGAGGCCGAGCGGGGGCGTGTGGGGGCGTGTTCGGGGCGGCCCCGCCGGCGTGGCCGCGGCGGCGCGGGGCCGCGTCTACAGGGCCCAGCGCCCCGTTCCGGGCCGCGCGCGCCCCTGGGGGCCGGGCTGCGGGACTGACCTTGCTTCCGGAGTCCTTGGCTCCACATTCACCTTTATCGTACCACCATCTGTTTTTCAGCTTGTCTAAGACGCCTGCCTCACTGAGTTTCAAAACGGCAAGGTTTACAGGAGTTCTTCACGTGGAAAATAACATAAATAACATCATACATGTTATTTTATGTTATTCAAGGCAAACCGCATCAGAGCCGCACGGCGAAGCGACGGGGCGGCGGCCGCGGCGGCGGGGAGCCGGGCCGGGCGCCCCGGCGCTTCCGTAACAGGCACATGCTGCGAAGGGAGCATCTGTAAATAACGGGTGTGCAATTACTGTGAACCCAAAACTATTGGCCTGGCTCGGCGTGCGACCAGCCCGAGCCCCCCCCCCCCCGGGGCGCCCCCTCCCCCCCCGCCCCCCGAGGTCACCGGCGGTGGCTGCAGACGCGGAGCCCTGGTGGCTGCTCCCCACGCGGCGCCCCGGTTCGCGGGCCGGGTCCACGCCGCCCGCGCAGAAGGGCCTGGAAGCCGGCGCGCACGTGGCTGCGGCGCGGGGGGGGGGCCCCCCCCCGGCCTCGGTGCTGAACCCACATGATACCGCCGGCAGCGGGTCCGTCTGCGAGTCTATCGCACGCACACACTGTCCGTGCAAAGGCCGCGCTCCGCGAACAGCGTGTGACCAGCCGACACCCGACGGCTCGGGTCGGGCGCCCGGGATCCTTGTGAACAAACTCCTGTCCCACAAAACCCCTCCTTCCTTCCGGGGCACGTCTGAGCCCTTCCTGCCGGGTGTCCCCTAAGGGTCTCGGGGGAGCAGCTCGGGCATCGTCACTCAGGACCCACGGCCCAGGGATCCAAGAGTCGCCCCGGGGCTCACCGCCCTGCTAACACGTGTGTGTGTGTGCGCGCGCGCGTGCGTGTGTGAGAAATAGAGGACGGAAGGGGGGCGGCAACTCCCTGCATCTCCCTTGTCATTGTCTGTTTCTCCTCGCTTTCGCGAACGTTCAGAGACCCCTTGAGTCTCCCCTGACACTCCCCAGGCTGCCATGGCCACTCTGGCTCCGGCTCCTCACGCCCCACTTCCAGGAGACACTGAGCGCACCGGGGCAGGCGTGCGGGGATTGATTACAGGGGATTAAGTCCATCAACTTTTCTGCCCAACCAGGCACTGCACACGTAACGACGGTGATCACGCTGGCTGGCCCTGAAGGGGCCCTTACGAGGTGCCAGGAGCTGTCGGAAGCATTTTACATGTTCACATACTATGATCACCTGCATTTCACGAATGAGGAAACCAAGGCACAGAGAGATTAAATCATTTAGTCACACAGCCAGGAAGGAGCTGGATCAGGTGACTTCATAGCTTGTGCAATGAGAAACATGAATAGCAGGAAATGGAGTTTCTGGTTAATCGAGTTTTCTGATTAACAGTTATGCCCAAACTCTGTTTTTTTACTGTTCTGAAAAAAGTTTCTAAAATGTCTTTTTACCTGTTTTCTGAATATGATTTCATTTTTGTATCGATGTTGCAACATCTTACAAGGTTCATTGTTCCATTTAAGAAGTAATATGCATTTGCCATGTTCCTCGAAATTTATATTGTGTTTTCGATTAAAATCTATAATAGGCGTGATTCAACACTTTCTGCTAAAGGCTGAGTTTAGGGGTGGGGCCAGATGAAGACTTTGGTAGACGGGGGTGCTTGGTAATTTGGCCTCAATCTAGGGTTTCTATTTATACCCTCCGACTCCTATTTATGATGATTACAAAACCCCACGCCAGGTTGGCTGCTGAGCTGTGAACTCCAGAAGCCACATCTCATTCATCTTTGTAAGACAGTATTTATCTGACTCAGAGCAGAATTGCTATATTTAAAGTATTTTGAATCGAGAGCAAGCTTTTCCATTTAACTGATACGATAAGAGTTTTGGGGCCCCAGGCTGTTCACCAAAGCGGTTTTAACACCTGCACAGGTATGACCTGTGCTACGCTTCGAGAATGGGGTTCTCTGGGAAGAGGAGGACTTCATGCTGAAAAGGGAAGGAACACAGAAGCAGAGTTTCCTTCCAGGGTCTTCTAGAAGGGACGTCCTGGAGGTACTGCTTTCCATCCTCCCTTAACTTTCCCTCTTGCCATTTTATTCCTTTTGCTATTCACTCCAGGAGCCTGGTTTTATACACAGTATGAGTAGCCTGGAATTGTGAACTTAAGATACTTAGTATGTGAGCCAAGCTTAATGGTCAGCTGGTGGAATTTTGGACACTGACCAAGGCTTTCACTATTGGGAGATCCCTATGGTTTTTGTTTGCCACAACCTTTTTTTTTCTGCTTACAAATTCATATTTCTAGTAATAATCCCTTTAATGCTGCACTGGTTTCTATGGCTATGGCGAGGCGGAGAAGGCCGCTTATGTCATACTTTAAAGACAGGAATGGGCCACAGTCTCCCAAGTGCCAAATTAAAAACGGGTCTTGTGTGATCGAACACAATTTCTAAAGAAGACATCAGGTGCTGATCACATTTACAAGATGATTTTTATAGGAATATCCACATCCATGGCTTACCTATTTTATATACACAGAGGAGAATAAGGTATAAAACAAACAGAAAAAATCAATAACTTGATAGGTCATGAATGATTACAGGCATTGCCAAAACTTTCAATTAGAACCAGGGTTAAGTAACTCGCTTCAAAACTGGAATAAAATTCTATGCATGGTTTGTACTCAGACAGAACCATATCAGGTTAATCGAAGAGGACAAGGAGTTTTAGACATTGATGTTTTTAAATTAGTTCATTGCTAATTAGTAACTTCTGTTATTTTATTTGCAAGAATAAGGATGAATTTCTTATGATCATAAAAAAAAGACCACATTGCAAAAATAAATACATTTTCAGACAAATGTATTTGTGCCTCCCATATCATGCCTTCCTGCTTTAATATTTTTTTTAAGATGCAGAACCTTTTTTCTCATTTCTTTTCTTAAATTTTTACATTGCAGTTGAAGCCTCTTGGTTGAGGCTGCAGGGTCAGGACGCCATGCTGTGGGAACGGCATCAGGTGAGTGGGGATGCTAATTATTTCACAGCCACGGGGTGCGACAAGGCGCCACAGCGACTCTAACTGGTCCGGGTGTCGGTTATATTAAACCCTAAGTTCCTTGAGAGAAAAGACAGTGCTAATTCTCTTTTTTCCCCAGAGCTACTGGCACAGGGCCCAGTGAAAGCAGAAGGTTAGTAATTTCCTCCCGAATGGAAGGCTGGAGATGCGCTCCACGGTAATAATCCTGCAAAGGACAGGTGGGTCACTTATCTCCCCCAAGGAACCTGTTCGTTGGGGATTCTCGGTGCAAATTTAAATCCTTTTCTCTGCATGGGGAGGGGGTGGGAGCTTTCTGTGGTTTTCCTCCTTCAGGCGAGGGAGTCTTCTCCTATCACGGGTCTGCATTTGAGAATCAGGGAGCAGCGGATTTCGGCATACCTGTGCCGAGCACCTGAATGCGCAGCTTCCCTCCTACTCTGAAGGGGCCTCATTTAATGGTCTCTTCTGCGGTGGCTCGGCCCGCGGCCCAGGCCTCAGAACCAGCCGGGTCCCCACCTGGGCACTTCTCCCGATTTTACCTCCTGGAGGAAGATCAGGCCACTGGGGAGGGGCGAGGCAACTCTGAAAAGGAAACCAGTCACCAGGAGAAGGTACAGAACAAAAGCAAAAAAGCAACTGCCTCCTGGCAATTTGCTTTGGCCCAAGTTAGGTCGGGGCATTTAAAATATCACCTTCTATTTCACATTCACCGTAGGGCATCATTAACATTTAGATTGCAACCACCTACTCGCTTGGGGATAAATGTTACATCAATATACAGCCTACTAGGAATGTTTTTTAGCGTGAGAACAAACTTCCTGAGGGAAAATAAAACATACTGTGATAGCATTTGGGGGGAACGTTTTAAGTTTTACAGCACTTCGTTAAGATTTGAAGTAACGTTTTAGAATATCACTTGGCAGTTCGTGTTTGGTAAAAGGCAAGTATTGCGTACCCGTGGGAGCAACAGTTTGATTTTTGAGAAGACAGCAAACATTTACTTAGTGTCCATTATATAGCAAACAATATGTGGGATACAGGCATGAAAAGCCCACTGCCTTCTCCAAACTCTTCTTTAAATGAACCAATATAACTTTCACTACACAGAGTTTTCCATTATGCACACGTGTCTGCTCTGCGAGACTTTTTCATGGACACTAAAATAGGACTTTTAGTAGAGAGTTTTATCTGTTAAGCAGGGAGACACTTCTATTGGTGATAAAAATAATCATTTGGGGGCAAAATTGTTCTGATGGACTAGAATATCTTTGCTTTTTTGGGTGCCATTAGAGCACATTTTCTTATATTTCTAATTTGCATGGAAAAGTAGATTCTCGGTGCAAATTTAAATATTTTCTCTGCACTTATTTATTTATTTACTAAGGTTTTTATGGAAGCTATCAATTTGGGCCCCAAATATAAACAGGGTTAAGTTCCTCAAGTAAACATATGGCCGATGCCTCACACGGAGAGACCTTGCAGGTCAACCAGCCCAGAGGTGGCCCTCGGGATCCTTGCCACCCTCTCTCTGCTCTTTCCCTCCACAGTGATTCTTTCTGAGGACCAGGAAGTGGGCGGTCAGGGTTGGGTCCAGATTGCTCTGTGGCTCCTTTGTCATGCCTCTCTCTGGCTAGAATGTTCCCTTCACAAGGTTTATCCTTCCTCTTCCTGCTACAGAGCTGGTGATTAGACAGGCAGAGACCAAGGAGCTAGATCTAAAGGTCTTTTTGGACCGGGAAAGAGGGGGAAGTTAGCGGCGTTGGCAGAGAATGGGGTTCACAGCCACGCCAAGAGGCACATGGTTCCATGGGTTCGGTGGCCAAGCAAGAGAATTTATATCCTAATCAAGAAACCGAAGACAAGCAAGATTTCCTGTTTTGGGCAATTTGTAGATTTTAAAAGAACAGCAAGAGTGCATACTTTAAAATCTGTGAGATTCTTATGTGCCAGTTGAAAGTACATAAGAGAAAATTCAGTCAGAATAGTCCCACCTCTGGGGTGTTTAAGCCATTACACAGTGAAGAAGGGTTCTGGGACAGAAGTTGATAATTTCCGTTGCTTGTATACCTTTTTCACCTGTCGATGCTGCTTAGGGAAAAAAAAATCTGGGAATATGTCACGGATGTAGTAAGACATTGCTGAGTGGGACTTGTTTTTGTAGCCGGATCATTTTGTAATTTGATCTACGTATGGGAGGCAAAATATGTCTAGTTCACATGACTATCCTTGATTTTTCATGTCACTCAACATTTAATGGAAGCCCGAGGGTCCTGGGTGGAGATATGACCTCCTAGAAAGTATCCCCTGGAGTCAAGTTACTGCTATTACTTACAAACGCCACGTAGCAGCGCCAGCCTTGCGACGGCGAAGGAAACACACAGGCTTTCCGTGTTCGCCCTGCTCGCTTCACTAAACTGCTCTTTCAAAAACTGGGATCCCTCCCTGCTTTGTAAATTGAGACACACAGAACTACAGCGTCTGCTCCACAACCCCTTCAGGCCAGAGACGCGCGGTGACTGTTTCGGTGAGGCTGGTGAGCGTGTCCCCAAATTGGTCCCAGTTGCAAATATTTTTGCTTTGACAGTAATTGCACACTTTGGTTTCAAAGGGACGTGACTTGCCATTTCTGGTGTCCCAAACCCCGTCTCCCAGCAGATGCACCTGTTACTGTACATACTTTTTACCCGCTTGTGGTGACATTGAGGCTGACCTTGGAGTCACCGCCCCCGCTGCCACACTCTCCTTTGTCGTACCACCATTTGTTTTTCAATTTGTCCAACAGGCCTTGTTCATTCAGTTTTAAAACTGCCAGGTTAACAGCATTTCTTGAAACGATAAAACATATTTTGTAAGAAACTGCACAGCTGTTAAGATGTTAGCAGGAATGAGGACTTAAGCTCTTTTATAAGCTTCTCCCAGATGCTAAATAAACCTCTCATTTTGCCGTCTGCACCCCTCCCCCCTTCCACTGGAGTCCAAACCAAGGGCGATTGTAACTAATTTCAGAGGGGATCAAAATCACCTGCTGTTCAAAGTCAGGGTTCATTTGTTGTCGGATAACTGAGACCATCATCAATCGGTGACAGGGATTTCTTTTTTTTTTTTTTTTTCTTTTGCAAAACAGCAGTAAACTTGAATTTACTAGTAATTGAGAAAGAATTGTGCCTTAAATTCCTCTGCCTCTAAGAAGGTCAACAACCAAAAAGAGACTGAAATGAAAATTCATCCCCAGAAACATCACCGCATGAACAGACCAAAATGGTGGCCACTGATTTTTGTGAACTGGTGTCCTGACAACAAAGAAAATTCCCCTTATTGTCTGTGTGAGCTTAGTTTGTCCATTTGTTTGATTTCACTGGCCTCCGACTCTCGGATTTGCATGTTACCTGGACTACAAATCAGGGGATAATCAAGAAAAAGGGAGCAGGAGCCCTTTGGGAAAAGATCTTACATTTGAATTTTGTGTTGATTCTTAAAGGCTTTGGATGCTCTTTAGAAACCAGAATTGCACAGCCAATTTGCCTGTTAAAATTAAGTAATGAAAACCCCAGGAAGTCCTGCGGCATATGGTGTGGACTTTGCAAATAAACACTCGAGATGCGATTTCCTTCGTGTGTATCTCTATCGGGGAATGAGGGAGAAGACTGAAAGGATTCTCTAAAAGGATTACAGATATGTCACGGGCTTCTGCCTGCCAGATACTTGGTTTCCTACTTGCTTTCAAGTTACAGTTTTTAAATGAGCCATTAGCTCTTTCAAGAGGTTTTCCCACCATTTAATGCAATTTCTGTTAAAGTGAAGGAGTGGCTTTATAGACTGAGAATTTGAGTTATGCTTTTTGATGAATGCTGAGTTTGGTGATTACTTAATACCAGATGAATTATGAGTAAAATAAAACAACCACATATTGATGAACAGGATTTGAAAATTGATCTGCAAATGAAATATTGTTTTGTTGACTAGTATAAAGTATCACTATTTCACCACTATCAGCATACTGAAGTGTTTATTTTCTTAAAAAGGGTTTATACTATTTCATGTTAAACAATGTTCATTTTCCAGGGTTGTGACAGTCTGATCCATCTGGAGAATAAACATGTCCCATGAGGAAACCATACACTTTGAGGGCACTCATTCTTCTTGAGAGCAGACTGCCATTTACAAAATGCAAATTAAATAATGTGCAGTTCCCACATTCCCCGGTAAGGGCCACACTAGTGTGAAGTAATTAATACATTTCCTCAAGTGAACACTATCATGTGGTCAGTTTAATCACCAAAGAGACCAGACTGAAATTTAAGAATGAATGACTATTCAGTGAAGAAATAGAGACCTATTTAAAAAAAAAGTTTCTGGGAGAAAGTCCTTCTACTCTATTTTGGGTCCACAATACATTAAATTTGTCTTCCAATGATTTAAACTGAACTACTAAAATTTTTTGTTTTGGAGAAAATTCTTTTTATAATCCACGTTATTTTCGTCTTAAACATTCATATTACATTTGTTTTAGTGAAGTGGTAGCCCCAGAATCTTATATGTTGGTTTAGACCATTCCTTTGATAAAACTGAAGTCATTTCATGAGAGGGTTATTTAACAGGGTTCTATTAGCCATATCCAAAGACAGTTCCACAGCACAGGAGAAAACAAAAAGCAAAATAAAGGAATGGATAAGGAAAAAAAGCTTCATGTTGAGAAAACAGTTTGGAATAAAGTTTTTTACAAAATTATTCTACGACATTGTCTTTCTGATACTGTCTAACAGGCCATGTAAAACCAGTTTAGTTTCACACTGCTATCCACACCTGCGTGCAAGTATGTCTGTATTTGGTTAATATAATATACGTGACCAGTAGGAAAGTCACTGCCCAGTTCACAACCGATCCACATGTTTTCCTTCCAGAAACATGTGTTCTCTTGACAGAGTCCACTTGATACTATGATATGTAAATTTGCTTTTCTTTAATGATGCATAGGAGGTAACTTATAATTAATATTCAGAACGAAGTCTTTAGGTATTCAAGATTTCTTTGCCTGGTCGAACTCCCTGTTTTCTACAAGTGTCTGACTACAGATGCAATTTCTTCATATAACCAGTTAGGTCTCGCGGCCTCATGTCATTTAAACTGAAGCGTTAACCACACGTGTAAGGACCGTATGAACATCTCTCCTACCTAATTGATGGAACACATTGCCTTTATACATTATTAATACTGAGAATCATCAAATGACTTAAAAAATACATAAAATGACTTCACTCATTTTGCTAGGATAGATTTAAAGGCATTTTTGTTTATCTAGGCAAGAGAAAGAAGAAACCCCAAAGGAGTAACTGGAAGCAAGCTTAGGAAGTCCTAAGGAGTGGGGTGAATGAGCCCCCGAGAAAGCAGAGCCTTGCTGCAGCACGTTGTAGGGTTGCTTTGCAGCCGCCTTCATGTGTTTCGGGCATAGATTTCAAAATCAATGTCAGAAAGATATCAATGATAAGGGATATTCTTGTCCCTATTACACTTTAGAGAAGCTAAAATTGGGGTCTGCCAAGAAGATAAGAGATAGAAGAAAAATGTTGTCGGCTATTCCCGACATTAATTATTCCTTTGAATTAATAAACTGCTGTGAAATGCAGCTTTTACAAGTAAACTCAATTAAATGGATTGCTTCCATTTAAAAATGCAAGGAGAAGAAGAAACGGTAAGTGACCACATTCTTGCCGGATGTGTAAACCACAATCGTTAGCCCACGGGTGTTGGCAATGACCTGTTTATAGATTGAGTAACACTCAGGTAACTGACTTCTTGCCTTTGCCTTTGGTACCTGATGGGAATTCTACGTAAGAAAAACCCTTCTCCAAACAGTCTTTAAATAATAGTGAGATGATGGGGAACTTGATGCAGGGTGGAACGAAAATGCTCATCTAGCCAAGTCCCAGGATCTCAGGAAGTTTACTCCTGAAATTTCCTTCAGTTTAGCTGGAGATCATGAACACCCATAGCTCAGTGGCTTAGCATCCGGGACCCATTTTTGTTAACAAGACTCTCACTGAAACACCACATTCAACAAAAGCTTTACTGCAGGAGCCTACAAATCCAAACCTCTCCCATATATTAATACTGGGTAAATTCATCTAGTGCAAAGTAAGATTTTCCTGTTAAAAGCAGGCTTAATTCAGGCTAAGGCATACATCTCTTACCCTCCACCCTTCCATAAATAATCTATCATTAAGTTCTATAGGTTTTGATATGCTTTTATGCTTAATTTATGACTTACTCATTTATATTTACTTCTGGACCATATTTCTTATAATTTTTCTATTGGTGAGGTTTTAAAATTTACATCTAACAAAATATTTACCAAATAAGAATATTTTTAAAGTTTAAGTTTAGGAAAAGTATTTTTATGATTCCCTGGATTTAAGAATATTATTATAAAGGACTGATACATAAGCCCTAGACTTAGTATCTATACACAGTATATTTAAGGCATATGCAGTTTGTAGAACAGATAGTTGGCAACATTGTATTTAATCTGGTAAAAAAAACCCCTCAATTCCATTTTACTTCATAGAACAGATATTTCCTTGTTGGTGATGAAGTCAATGTATGGACAGTTTATCTGTCTAACCTGCTGTGGAATTTTCCTAGTGCTTTATTATCCATATAGGAAAGGACCTAGTAGTGATGCACACAGTAGTGATGCACATCACCTTTAGCATTGTGCTCTCTTAACCGGAATGCTCTCTTCATACTAAACTCTCTATCTCTCTTTCTGCTTTAAGATTTTATTTTTAAGTAATCTCTATACCCAATGTGGGGCTTGAACTCACAATCCTGAGATTAAGAGTCACACACTCCACCGACTGAGCTGCCAGGGGCCCCTACACTCTCTATAAAATTTAAGTATCAGGTGTTCAAGAGTCCAGCATATTTACTTGAATGATGCCAGATGATAGTTTTCATAGTCACCATAAATCTTTAAAAAAATTAAAAATTGAGTAAAGCCACAAGAAATTGTGTAAACAGGTAAGAAAATCCCTCTAAAATCAGCAAAGGCCATCAGTAGATGGAAAGACATGTAAATCATACAGAAATAATTCAACATGACTTGGGATCACGCTGATGTGAATTCAGACAATTCTTTGCGAATTCAATTCTGTACCACTTGTGTCAGGGAAGACACAAGTAAAGATGATGCTGAGTACAGTCAGGGATTTTATAAGGTGTGCGTCCGCATCCACTGATGCCAGAATTAAAAATGAAGAGGGACATAAGATGGCTTTAAACAACAAAAGCTTAGAAACAATTCCTGTTCTTGGAAATTATTGACAATGTTGATAATAACATTAATTAATATTAATGGTTACTGGCTAATATTATTCTCCTTTGAGAAATCAACTCTAGTAAGTTCATCAACGATTCTGACAAGGGGGCTGGATAAATCTCATAGTCTATTTCTGAAGCAACATATTGAAAGCAATTTATATGCCTAAGAGGAAGGGAGAATTAGTAAGTTTGGGGGCGTGACAGTGATTGTGAAGCTTGATCTGGGTATACAATCACTATTACACGTCTGACATTGTGGTATCAGATTCCTCTGAATTGGGGGCAGTGTATCTACATTTTTACAAAGCTTCTGAGGTGATGGTGGTATTTATTCATAAGTACCAATAATTCATATGGCTGAACACTTTACAATCATTAAAAGTTTTTAACAACGAGGAAAAATAATTATAGTATACTGTTAAGTGAAAAAAGAAATTTGTATCTTCACTACGACTTTAAAAATAAAAAATATATATTTATAGAGACCTTAATAGAAAAATATTAGAAA